TAAATAGTTCTCTTGCTTCTTTCAGCAACTAGGACAAAAAACATTCTTTTTGCTTATTCACTCGCAATTGCTGTCATAAAGATAATCGCTGAGGAACAGAGCCGATAATTTACTAATCATTCTTTCCATTCTTTTACCGATAGTTGTTTTTTGGTAATCTGGCACTTGCTCTTTTAGTTGTAGTCAGTAAGTCGTTAATAAGTTTTCTACTCAATCTAAAAGGGACTCTGCACTACTACCGGATTTAAGTTGAATAATCTGTGCTTTTAATTGTTCTAATTTCTTAATTATTTCTTTTTCTTGAAAACTCCCTTTTTTTAAGTCCTTGGTGATTTGTTGAATAAAGGATAATTTTAGTTCAGTGTTCCGCTTGTTTATGAGTTCCTGTTGTGCGGTAGTTATTGGTTGATTTATGGAAGTGATAAAACAATATTTCAAGCCCCTTTTTCTTTGATAATTGTAGTATTGATTTACTGCTAATTGGTGATATATATTTTTCTTATCTTTATGGAGAGTTAAAAAGTATTCTTTGCCTGTTTTACTTGAAAAGGTTAATTTAAAGTAATTAGGTAAGATTTCTTTTCTAATTAAAAGTGCTCTATTATTTAGACTGCTTTCTGTCATGTTTAAAAAATTCCTGTGGATTATTGAATAGTAAATTAGTTGCTTCCTTTATTCTCAATTGCTCGGCTTCTTTGACTTCTTTTTCTACCATTTTTGTCAATTGCTCGGCTTGCTCTAATCTTGCTTTTCAATCTTTATTTTTTTCGCACTCTTTTTCTGTAAGAGATAGAAGAATTAAAAGTTTGATTTTCTTGGTTTTTCATTCTTTGTTAATGTTTTGACCTAAGTAATCCAAGCAAAAGTTAATCAATGCTTCTGCTTTCTCTTCTTTACTTTTTTTGGGTTGTGTATTTCTTGTTGAATAACCTCGGCTAATTGACTGTTAAAATTGTGTTTACAACAAGTTCCGAAGTCCTTGCCTTTTAGCAATATTTTTCAGGCTCCTTTTTGGTCTTTTTCTTTCAACAAAAGCATTAATTCCTCCATTTCTTTTTTGCTGTATTTATGACTAGTTATTTCTTTGGTTATCCAGTCTAAATGTTTCTGATTTTTTTTATTCATAGTAAATGTTATTAAATTTCCT